TCGTTAGAGGTCACCGATCTGGTCTTCTCACCGCTGCAGACTACAACAATCTATGCCAGTGCGAAACTCTAGATGACATCAAGATGCATCTGTCCGCTACTGAATACGGTCCTTATCTCCAAAATGGTAAGTTTCGTTACCTCTGATCGGAAATCCCTGATAGATTAGGCATTTTTGTTGTATTGATTGGATTATTTTGAAGTTTGACTCAGATGTATTAGTGTAGAGGTAGTTTGTTTCTGTAGATTCGTCATTAGCTTGAGATCAGTTAGGATCATAAATCAATTAAAGGATATGTTAACTTTCTCAAAAAAAATTAAATCAATTAAAGGCTCATTATAGATTAGGCACTTTTTTTTGCTGTATTTGTATGGATTGGATTGTTTTGAGGTTTGACTTGGATTTGTTAGTGAAAAGGTAGTGAGGTAGTTTGTTTATATTAGGCATTTTGTTGTATTTTGTATCGATTGGATTATTTTGAAGTTTAACTCAGATTTGTAAGTAAAAAGGTAGTGAGGTAGTTTCAACATTTCCGGTCTGAGTTGTTGACCATCACCTGACCTCGCACCTCACACAGGAGGTCCTGCGCTGAGTGATGTTTATGTAGGTTCAGGATTAGCTTGGGATCAGTTTAACTCTTTTAAGTTTTATGTAGTATTCATTGTGTATTATAGCTAGTTTAATGGAACGATAACATTTTAAGATGCTGCTCCCTGCAACTAAGTACAGTCCGTATTTTCAAAATTGCAAGTTTCTCATCCTTATTTCGTGATTTCGTTGCTTATGATCATGAATATTAAAACCTCCTGATAGATTATGCATTTTTGTCGTATTTTATATTGATTGGATTATGTTGAAGTTTACTCTGATTTGTAAGTACAAGTTACTGAGGTAGTTTGTTTTTTTGGGTTCAGGATTAGCTTGAGATAAGTTTAACTCTTATGTAATAGTCCTTATTTCATAATTTTGTTGCCTATGATTATAAATCAATTGAAGCATCGTGATAGATTAGGCATTTTCTTGTATTTGTATCAAATTGATTATTTAAAGTTGACTCAGATTTGTAAGTGAATGGTAGTGAGGTAGTTTGTTCTTGCACTTCAATTTTCGTATTGTTTTGTTGTTGTAGTGTTTCTGTTTTCAGCATGCTTTGACATGCTCTCTAACAGATTTTGCCATGACTTGTTCACTCATGTTAAATCTTTATTAGACCCTTTTTTTTTCCTTGAGCCGAGGGTCTATCGGAAGCGGCCTCTCTACCTCCAGGGTAGGGGTAAGGTCTGAGTACACTCTACCAGTCTACCCTCCCCAGACCCCACTTGTGGGAATTACACTGGTATGTTGTTGTTGTAATGGTAGCCAATATCCTAATATCATTCCTCAAGGTGGTTCTGTTTTCAGAATGTCTGGATTCCCGAATTTGCTGGCAGCATATATTAAAATGCTGCTTAAACAATGTTTTTGCAATTCTTGAAAATACATCTTTCTTCTGCAATGCTTAATACAGATCACTGTCAGATTCTTCCTTATTCTAGTTTTTTTTTCCTTATTATACTTTTGCAGAGCCTTCCCCTTTACACACTACTACGATTGTGGAGAAATGTACTGTCAAACTTGTAGATGAGTTCAACCACATGCTCTGCCAAGCCACAGAACCCTTGTCAACCTTTCTGGAATACATCAGGTAAATATTCCAGCTAACACAAGATACGAAAAGGATTTGTGTCTTTAAGTTTCTTAACATCTACACCACTAGCTAACCTCTCTAGATAGTTGAACAGTCTCGCCATTCTTAGCATCACCCATGATGGCCCCATACAACAAAAGGGAACATAATCCTTAGTGTCCTCGCTGAGTTTAAATGTTCTTTAGATATTTGCTCATTGGAAGAGAGGAACTTGAGAGTCATTCATGTAAATGTACATTTTTTTCTACACTTGTCCCCGAAAAAAATCATCCTGTTCTAGATTCGGAAGTTTCACCTCTACGAAACCTCATATCTGAATAACAATGTGTCCATACTCTAAAAGCTAGATCCCTAGTCAATCTGTTTAGTTGGAACATTTTGTCTCCTTGTAATAGCATTGACAGCTTTTTGGATTTTGTAAGCTCTTTGATTGATAATAGCTTAGTACTCATATAAAGAAACTAACTCTCTTTCTTTTACACTTTTTTCTTTCGCCTCACCCTGGTGCTCTTTAATGAAATCCTTTACTTCATCAAAAACAACAACAACAATGTATCCATTTATACTCCCTCTGTTCCAATTTTTGTGTTATGCTTTCCTTTTTAGTCTATTCCAAAAGAATGATACCTTTCTTTATTAAGAAATAAAATGATTTCTTTACACTTTCCATTTTACCTTTAATGAGATGATTATAACTATGACTTGTTTTAGACCAGAAGTTTCAAAAGTCTTCTTTTTCTTTCTTAAACATTGTGCCAGTCAAAGTGAATCACATAAATTGGGACAGAGGGAGTAATAAATTAAAGTCTTAATCAAATGTAACATTCTGAGCTTTCTCTTTTGGCAACATGTACTTGCAATAGTGTAAAAACAAAGAAAAGGATTTTTCACCTCCTGAATGAGTGTATGCATGGCCAAATGTAGGGTGGTCATATTATCCTTATTATTCTGATGCTAAGCATTTAGTATTGTAAGAAAATTTGCATAATAACTGGTCAGTATAGATCCTTAAATGGCATTATGTGCAACTAGCTTAGTGTATTACACTATTACCCACTTCTGCTGCATAATCAAATCTGAGTTTTGGTGTTTAATCATATGGTTTAGGTATGGCCACATGATTGACAATGTTGTCCTAATTGTCACCGGAACTTTGCATGAGAGAGATGTCCAAGAACTGTTGGAGAAATGCCATCCTTTGGGCATGTTTGACAGGTATTATTCCAAATGCTTGCATTGGATTATGAGAGCTAAATGAAAGCATGTATTGACTATTCTAATTTATTCTGCAGCATTGCTTCTTTGGCAGTTGCCCAGAATATGAGGGAATTATACAGGCTGGTGCTTGTTGACACACCCTTGGCTCCATACTTTTCTGAGTGCATTACTTCGGAGGTATCAAATGCTTCACCCTTTACTTCAAAACTTTGATAGGTAATCAGTAACTACATGTTCCGTTTCCCCCAAAAATGTTACCTTATTCCTGTATTTTCTTGAGCATCGACCTTTTCCATGTTTGCTGTCCCTCTGAAGAAATTAATAAGTAAATGATTGTAGGCTCTTGCACTTCATAAGTAATTAACCAGGATCCTCTTTCCCACCTTTTACCAAAGCCTAGTATTCTTTCAAGATTTCTTGCAGTTTGAGGATGATACTTATCTTACTTTTGTATACTCCAAGTAGGTCTGGTTGTTGATAAGGGAATATCTTAATCCATGCATCAGTTGCTTTATCAGTCTGTTTTCTTCCATTTATCAATGTTTTTGTTTTATTTATGTTCTTACTTTTGAGCAGGACTTGGATGACATGAACATTGAGATTATGAGAAACACACTGTACAAGGCATACCTTGAAGATTTCTACAGATTTTGCCAGGTACTATTTGTTTTAAAATTATCTATCATATTTTTCCTGCTCTACATTTTAATGAAGTTTAGCACTCATTTCACTTGTCTAATATGATTATTTACAGAAATTAGGCGGTGCAACTGCAGAAATCATGTCTGATTTGCTTTCTTTTGAGGCCGACAGAAGAGCTGTTAATATTACTATAAACAGGCATGCCACTCTTTTGGGATTTCCCGTAATCCTGCTGGATAAAGTTTATTATTTACCTTGTAATAATGCTTCTATTATTAACTACAAATATTTTCATTTGCAGCATTGGCACTGAGCTAACACGTGATGACCGCAGGAAGTTGTACTCTAATTTTGGATTACTGTAAGTTCATGTAGCTCAATCATTCATGTTCTTCATATGTTACATTACCTCTCTTTCTGACACTATCTATGCTAAATAGTTACCCATACGGTCATGAGGAACTTGCCATATGTGAAGATATAGATCAGGTATTGTATGACCAACTCTTGTTTATTTTTCTTGTTGCAGCTTTTACGCACATGGAATATTCTTTCCCTAGTTAAATAAATAGTTAGCTAGATAGGGAGATTCTTATTGTGGTTAGGTACTACATTGCATGCAGTTCTCGCCCTTTAAAAAAAGTGGTGAAGCATCATATAGTGCCTGGTGGGTTTAATACTATTTGAAGGGAGAGGATGAATAAGAGGAAGATAAGACAATTTGTTTGTAGATTAAAGGATACAAGCAAATCAATACTTTTGTTATGACCACTTAAATTTATGATGAGTTAATGACAAATTAAAATTAAAATTCTTTTGTTTTCTATCCTCCTTACATGGACTGTTGTCTTCTAATTGTCCTTCTCTTCTTGCTGTAGGTCCGCGGTGTCATGGAAAAGTACCCCCCTTATCAATCCATATTTTCTAAGTTGTCATATGGGGAGAGCCAGATGCTCGACAAGGCTTTCTATGAAGAGGAAGTGAAACGCCTTTGCTTATCTTTTGAACAACAGGTTTGTTCATTTGAGCAATCTTTAGTGTTAATCTTCAAAATTTTCCCACTCCAAAAACCTCATAAAAAGAGTCCCCCAGAGATATGCAGCAGAAAAACCTTTCAATCCGTCTGCTTCCTTATTGATACTCTTTTCTTTTGACTGCAGTTCCACTATGGTGTATTTTTCTCATATATAAGGCTGAGAGAGCAGGAGATAAGGAACCTAATGTGGATTTCTGAATGTGTCTCTCAGAACCAAAAAACCAGAGTCCATGACAGCGTTGTTTTCATATTTTAGTAATTTAGCCATATTTGAGATCATGTGCTCTCCATACTTGTCTGTAAATTTGATTTTCACGACCATTTGTTGATAACTATTGAGTTTTTTGGTTAAGAAGGCCAGACCCTACCCCTGTAGGAGGGGGGTTACAGTAATTGTGAGGCCATTCTCTGTGGAACTAGCCATATCTCCTATGTCTTCCCTAAGTCATAGGACAATGGTTACAGTTATACACGGATATTACCCAGTTCGTTTGCAACTTTTCCTAATAAGTCAATGTATGTTGGTATAATTGTTATCTGGAACGATACTTGGATTGATGTGTATCAATGTATCGCTATTTATTGAGTTCGCTGCTATCATAATATACCTGAATGCCTGATTTCATTGTTTGGTAACTCATTGAGCTTGAACTTGTCAAGTAGAAAGAATCACTAGACTTCATATTGGTGTTGATATGTGCTTTCGAGATGATCTATTTCTTTGTTTAGTGCAACTCAAGACTATTGACACTATACGACCCTCTCCAGATCTCACTTTTGAGATTATACTAGGTATGTTTTTGCCAACTCTTGACTATCCCTTCGATTCGTCCTTTACCCACTTTCTTAGTATGAATCTTTTTGTGTTGTGTGCTTTATTTGAACCTTGTCTATAATTATAGATAGCAATATTTTGAATCTTTCCTTTTCTGCTCTTTACATGTACGAATTAAGTAAAAATACATATAGAAAACCAAATGAAGAAAAAGAGATGAAATCAAGAGTTGTTATTATTCCAATTACACTTGCATAAATTCTTTCCCCAATATAAACCAATTATTCATTTATTCTCTTGAAGTAGGCAAAGCTCTATGTTCTTAACACAAATGTAAAACTCTATTTGGATCAAACTAATGTTAGAATTGTCCAAATCAAAATCACACCTCCAACAAAGATCTTGTATGCAGATATAGTAACCCTGTATGAATTGTTTGAATCATCCTTAGTAGCCGGTCCCGGTGTCGGAACAGGAGTTGCCGGTGCAGGGATGGGAGTTGCCGGTGCCGGAGCTTCACCTTCCACGGTGATGACCAGCTTTTGGTTATGGTCAGAGCAATGTGATGGAAAACCACAAATGTACCATTTTTTACCAGGAGTGGCTAATGTGATCACATCATGACCAGAAGTTAATCCTCCACTTGAAGGGATTATGCAGTCTTTGAAAGATGTTTGGTTCACTTTGAACACATTGTGATGCCCTTTGGTATATTTAAAAACTACAAGAGAAGATAGAAAAAATAGTTTTCAAGTAATAATTCCTTATTATAAGTAAACTAATTGAGAAAAGGCATTTTCTATTTTACACGGTTATTAAAAAATCATATTATTTGATATGGGATAGAGGGAGTAAAATATTAGGAAAAATTACATGAATTAATACATTTTAAAAAATAATTACTGATTTTAGAGATACTTTTTGTTTATTACCATTTATAGCAATATTGTGATAAACCTGTAATATGTGTTAAAAGTGAATCATGTATGCAATATATTTGAATTATAATTGTTTTTTAAATATATTATGTTTGTTTGGTAAAAAGATTGTCATATTGTATTATAAGTGTATTAAAATGTGTGATAAATGTATTATCCATCGTTAAAACTTATATTATACGTGAATAATAAATTGTTCTTTGTAATATGTATTAAACTTATATTATAAATGAATTAAAAGTGATCAAGTGAAAAAAATGTGTTATTACTTTAAATGGTAAATATTTTTTTATTATAGTAATATTTATGTAAGTTTTCCATAATATTACTATGTAAAATAGAAAGTGTCCATCTAACGTGGGACAGAGGGAGTAAGAACCAACAAATTCGAGTTGCTTCTTTTCTTTAAAGGTCATACACGATATAAATTCAGATTAATCGGCTAATGATTTTCAAACACCAAATGGTTATTAAAGAGGGGGGATTTTTATATAAATAGTCTATCAAATTAATTGTTTACTTTTTCTATATTATAATACATACCTAATGTGTCTCCAACCTTGAAATTTTTGCCCTTGGCCCAAGCTTGATAATCAACATCAATGGTCCATCCTTTATCACCTCCAACCCAATACTCCGTTGCCGGTAGCGGTGCCGGTGCCGGTGCCGGAACTCCGGCTTCGACAGTGATGACAAGTTTTTGGCTATGATCAGAACAATGTGTTGGAAAACCACAAATGTACCAATGTTTACCAGGGCTAGCCAATGTAATAACATCATGGCCAGAAGTTAAACCTTGACTTGGTGGAGGAACTATGCAATTTTGAAAAGATGTTTGGTTCACTTTGAACACATTGTGATTATCTTTGTTGTACTTGAAAACTACAATTACAAAGAATAAAAAAAAAGATTCAAAAATAGTTTCAAGGCCTATAATAATCGTCACTCAAAATAATAGCTGATAATATAAGAAACTACAGTAACTTAAATTCATTATATATCAAGAGTAATTGCGTAGGCTAGCCACTTTTCATCTTTGTAACCGAAAAATAGTCATTATCGTGGAATTTGATATTCTAATGGTTAATAATATCCCGGAGTTTTAAATTTCACGACGATAACTATTTTTCAATTATCTAGGTGGGAGGGTTGAAAGTGGCTATGTGTGCAATTTATTATACCTAATGTGTCTCCAACTTTGAAAGTTTTGTCCTTGGCCCAAGCTTGATAATCAACATCAAGGGTCCAGCCCTTTTCACCACCTACCCAATACTCAGTTGCCTTTGTAATTTCTGGCAAAAATCCTAAAAACCCAATCATAAAACAAAAAATAATTTTTGAAGCCATGGAAAAAATATTTTCTTTAAATAAAAACTTTTTGGATGTGTTGAAGAAATAAGAAAAATTTGGTGTGGTTATTTATAGCAACAAAATTTATTGAGACTGACAAATTGATTTCATTGAATTCTAAGTACGTGAACCCCACTAAATTTAACAAAGTCGAAATATTCCATTAATATTCTCGTAAATTTCAAAGATGATAATAACTATGTATTTGATTTACGTAAAGTTAGAAATCCTTTCGTCTTAACCAGAAGCTTCGATCTTGATAAAATACACATTCACCTGCTTAATATGTATCAATGTAAGATTAATGTATAATTCTATAAGTTTCAGCTCACCCATTCATTATTTCACTTTAAGAGACGTATACGAAAGAAACACGATAGATAATTTAAGACGACGAGTAAAAAGATAGAAAAACTGCAAAAGAGTGTGTGAGCATAAACGGACTAATATTTCTTTGATTTCATCTCCAAAATACATGTATCCGCTTGCTGGTATAGTAACAAGGAAAAATCCGAAAACAATCAAAAGAAAAAAGCTCCAAAACATAAAAGAAAAAAAAATCAGGAAATGGCCCAGAGGGCAGACTAATCTACACAATAATATTTCATCAGCAATACAAATTATTAAAATCAACAGAAAAAGTATCTCATTTCAATGACCACCATATATGATTCAAGAATCCTCCAGTGACATATTAGACTCACTTGGCGCTGGCGAGCTGAGTGCGGATGGTCTTGGCTGCAGACACCATGTTTTGTAGGGCTGGCTTCACCTCGGTGTACTTGCGAGTCTTGAGACCACAGTCGGGGTTCACCCACAAGATGTTGGTGTCAAGGACTGCAAGCATCTTGTTAACTCTGTCGGCAATCTCTTCGGTTGATGGTATTCTTGGAGAGTGGATGTCGTACACACCAGGGCCGATACCAGCTCCGTATTTAACTCCCTCCCTGAAAACTGAGAGAAGCTTCTCATCAGAACGTGAGTTCTCAATGGTGATCACATCAGCATCCATGTCGATGATGGAGTGGATAATGTCGTTGAAGTTGGAGTAGCACATGTGAGTGTGGATCTGTGTGGTGTCCTGGATACCGACGTTGGTGATTCGGAAAGAGTGAACGGCCCAGTTCAAGTAGAAAGCGTGCTCAGCCTTCCTAAGAGGCAATCCCTCTCTCAATGCAGCTTCGTCAATTTGGATGACAGTGATACCGGCCTTCTCCAAATCCTCCACTTCATCCTTAATGGCCAAAGCAATCTGGTAGCAGGTCTCAAACCTGGAAAAAGCAATAATGGTGGTTAGTGTCGAGTTAGCGTCGAGTTCATTACACATGAACAGAGACCGTTTAAACATCAAATTAGGAGTAGGGTGCAAAAGATACCTAGGTTGGTCATTTCTGACAAAAGACCAGTTGAGAATGGTGACAGGGCCAGTAAGCATTCCCTTCATTGGCCTCTTGGTCATCTCTTGAGCTTTTGAGGACCAGAAGACAGTCATTGGCTTAGGGCGGCTCACATCACCATAGATGATTGGTGGCTTCACACATCGAGATCCATAAGATTGAACCCATCCATTGGCAGTGAAAGCAAAACCAGAGAGCTGCTCTCCGAAGTACTCAACCATATCGTTCCTCTGCATACATCAAAAGCATTGAGACTTACTAAACCATAATTTTGCATGCAAGTGTGTGCATAAGGATACAAAAAACGCAAACATGTATGGAAGTAGAGGTAAGCAGGTAACTGCCCTACCTCAGGCTCTCCGTGAACCAAGACATCAATGTCAAGTTCCTCCTGGAGATCAACAACCTTCTTGATTTCCTCGGTGATGGCCTTAACATACTCCTCCTCAGAGATCCTGTTAAAAAATGAATTATGAGAAAAGATATTCAACAACACCAACAATAACAAGCAGAAAACAAGGATAACACTTACTTCTTGGCCTTGTATTCACGACGAACTCTCCTGAGCTCCACTGTCTGGGGGAAGGATCCAATGGTGGTTGTGGGCAGGATTGGTAGGTTAAGCTTCTTTTGTTGGGCATCAAGTCTAGCACTAACATTTGTAGCACGGCGGTGGTCAGATCCTTGAAGAGCAGCAGACTGAGACATCGAGAAGAGCAAAAGGTAGTAAGTACAATATAATTACAAGTCATTAATTAAAAGACAACGTCATTCAGTTCAACACTTACAGCCTTTTGAACAGCTTCATTGGTCACTCTTGGGGAGGACTTCCTGGAAGCTTGAGCAGCAGCATTAGCAGAGAAAAATGCCTGAAAGACAACAAACACATTTAGACGATATACAAAAACTCTGTCAACCGTTATAGTTAAAAAAAAATCATTTTTCAAAGACTTATAGTTAAGAACAAACTATATACCTCATCCTTGGCACCAGACAATGCCTTGGCCAAAGCATTCACTTCAACAACCTTCTGGGCAGCAAATGCCAACCATGACTTGATTTCATCGTCAAGTTTTGTCTCGTTGATCAGATCAACAGCAGTGTGGAGTAGGGAGCAAGATGTAGAGGCAACAAGCTTGTCTGCAAAATTGAATATGATAAGGAATCATCTTCGGTGATAAATCACCAACAGGATCACTACCAACTATCAAGTGATGAGGTAGGAAAATGCATTACCTTTTCCTACAACTCCCTCAAGAGTTTGCAGGAGAGCAAGAGATGCAGCAAGATCATTTGCCCAGATGTTCCTTCCGTCAACCACTCCTGCAAACAAGTACTTGCCTGAAGGGAAGCTACTCTTGATTAACTCAAGGGTCTGAGTTCCACGGACCAAGTCAAAGCCAAAGGCAGTAACTCCCTTCAAAGCAGTGAGGGTTTTGAATGCCTCGGCGGGAACATCAGCAAAGTAGGTCTCAACGAGAACATTAAGGCCAGATAGAGATGACTCGAGATCAGCATAGGCCTTGGTGAATGCTTCCAATTTGTGAGACTCTAGATCCAACACAAGTGTGGGCTCATCTAACTGGATCCAAGAAGCACCAGCTGCCTTCAACTCAGCGATAACTTCCCTGTATTCACAATTTTATGTTAGAGTTTGCCCATTCGGATATAGCATACTGAGGGGGGGATACTTACTTGTAAATTGGAAGGATTTTGTCCAGAAGTGACAAAAGTGGGAAAGATTTGTCAACACCCTTAGCAGGCTTGGATAGCAACAAGTATGAAACTGGACCAACAAGAACTGGAACAGTGTCTACTCCTTGCTGCATGAGTAAGAATATCAAGATCAATAATCAATTATCTAACATTCTAATTCCTGCATAAGACCAACAAGATTTAACTATATAGTGCAATTGGTGCAATGATCTACCAATAAGATCTATGTCATGATGATGAAAGATCACAATCATTACATTTCATTCAAATAGTCCAAATACCATTCATGTATAATAAAACTGAAAAGAATATATAGCAAAAGACACATACCGCCTTGGCCTCTTTGTACTCATTTACTGCCTTGTGGGAAGCATATGAAAAGTTAACATCAGGTCCCAACTCAGGGACGATGAAGTGGCTGGATCAAACAAAGAATTCACATAAAATTAGTACACAAACAAGATAATCACGCCTAGTAAAAAGGTTGGTAGACGTAATTGATGTGTCACTTACTAGTTGGTGTCGAACCACTTGGTCATCTCCATAGCAGGGACGGAAGCATTTCCTCTGGCCATGGAGAAGTAAGTAGCGAACTCAATCTCACCACCGGTCCAGTTGTACCTAGATGGGACAGCACCAAGCATTGCGGTTGTGTCGAGCACCTGATCATAGTAAGAGAATGTGTTGCTGGGGATGTACTTAATGCCAGTATCACACATCTGCTTCCAGATGGATGACCTGAGGTCTGCAGAGACCTTCTTCAAATCCTCAGCACTGCTCTTTCCATCCCAGAAAGACTCAAGAGCGAATTTCAGCTCTCTCTTTGGGCCCATACGGGGATATCCAACAACATGAGATGCCATTTTTCTGATTCATACAAAACACACAATCAGGCACAAAATCCATCACTAATTATAAACCAAACTTATCTTGATCCAAACACTTTGAACAGACATTCCACCAAATAGACATAAATAGAACACAATAGATATAAAGGATTCATACCCCTGACCCCAATCAGCTCGAAACTACGTTGTTCCAACTCCTAAAGATATCCTTGATTACTCGTAAGATCTAAAAGATTCATACAGCTAACCCCAAACTATGTTGTTCCGCCTCTTCAAATTATCACTGATTACTAGTAATATATAAGGTTTGAAACTATGTTGCTCCGACTCTTACAATCATCAATGATACCTCATCACATCCACCAAAAGATAACGCATTTTTGAACGATCCAAACACCGACAACATTTTTAAAGAGTCCGAGCAATATAGGTTCAAGATCAAGGTGGTTGATGTAGATACTTAAAAACCTTCAACAAGATTGATTCTTTTTAATTTATAGTAGGTAGTTGAGCATTTTGACACATTGTACTAAACATACACTTAAAAAGTACACAATTACAAAAAAACATAGCTTGTCGTTTCTCAGTACAACAAACAAACAGTGAATCAGAACTTAAACAGAGCCAAATTACAAAATTCCAAACTAAAATCATCACTTGATTGAATAACACACTCATTTATCAGTCATATAAGCTCAAAAGCATCAGATCTGATATACATTACTCCATACAAATTGGATCACAACCCCGCTAAATCAGATCTAATCAAACCCTAAACACCTCATTACAGATCTGCAACTCCATATTCCAGATCTAAAACTCAATTCCAATGCATACCCAGAAACAAAAACCCCATATCACAGATCTAAACCTCAATTCCAATGCATACCCAGATACCAAAAAAAAAACAGAGCATCAATGAAACATGAACAACACACCCCTAACCAAACTAAACCATAATTGGGATTGAACAATGAACACTAAATCGACATGGGTTTCATACCTATAGTAGTAAAAATGCAAATCAAGCAACACCTGAGTAAAACTAACAAAAAAAAGATCACAGAATTTTAAGTGATAAAAGAAGTAGTAAAAGCACCCAATTTGCAAATGATGAAATTGGTGACTGAAATACTAGAAATGAGATTGGTTAGCAATGGCAAACCGTACCTTTAGGAGAAAAAAAAAGTATAGAACCGGCGAAGACTGGTTCTTGTGTGATGAAATTGAAGAAGAAGAGAACAGAAGGACGCGAGTTTGAAGCGGAAGATGACTGAGTTTATATAGAAAAAAATGTTAAAGTTGGTAGCTTTTTGTGGTAGATCTACTCTATA